ATATCGATGGCCTTCGAATAGATTGCTTCGTAGGGGGGATATTTGCCATAGTTGCCACGCTTGGCAAGTGAGTTGGCAACCGCAGTTTTTATTTTTAGTCGTTGTTAGGAAGAGGCTGCTGCTCATCTCCTAAATTGTGTCCCTCTGTCGCCTTTTACGACACCCACGGGATGATAAGGGATAGTGGATATTCCTAAACCCTGGTGGTGTAGGAATTATCCACTACACGGTAATAATTTAATTTATTTCCAAGTACCTACGTTTTTGATACAGCCTTTAAGCAAGGCTAAAAATAACCTGTTGAATTTATTGCAATTCCATATTCGAGGTTAAGATAATATTTAATATGTATTTATAAAAAAGTAATTTTTACTTGCCAAAAAACAACAACATGGTTTAAAGTTCCTTTAAAATAATTTAATAACAAAATTATAATTTATTTGTAACCTAACGATATTACATGTATGAGAGCAGATAATTAATTATGTAGGTACATATATAATTAATTATCTGCTCTCATGTATTTAGATAAGTCGTGGATAACTTGTAACTGCCTATATTACTTTTTCATATAACTAGTTTGTATATTTTTTTTATTCTGTTATGGTCTTATCACTAAATATAAATATATCATCTGGTGTCATATTTTTTCAAATGCACTAATAACAAAAATGAGTCCTTGTTATTTCATGTTGCACGTTTTTAATTATATGTCTTCTCTATCTTATCAAACATTTGATGCTTTGATCACTAATAAAAAGAATTTTATGTCAAAGAAAGGAAAAACTACCTAGTTTAAATAATTATAAATTTCAACATACCTATTTATTGGATCCTTAATTGAATTTTAACTTTATTCTAAGATGTCTACTTAGTCGCTTTCGTTGAGAGAGTCTTTTAACTTAAAACTTAATATTATGCGGTCTATTTTTGCAGAGGTATGTGAACTTATCCCACACAGATATTTAGTGGCATCTGAAACCGGTAAACTCGACGGACGACGGTTATGTACTTTTTATTTTAAACGATGTTTAAGGCAGTAAATGGATTATAAAGTAAGGCCGCAGTTTCGCCACCATCACAGTTCCGATCTCAAGAATTTGTGATATTTTTTCATCAGTTTCTATTTATTTCCAATTGCATCGTGCATATAACCGGTATTTCTTATAATATTTTTTCATTAAATACATATTTAACAATAAATAAGATTTAGAATGTTCAGGGCGACACAATAAATAATTAATAGGCGATTTAGGATTAAGGCATTTCTGTACTCATCGCCAAGCCGTATGTATGCATTTGAATACAAACAGAGCATGCAATAGGCTGGCATCGGCAACACGTAATGCGGAAAACATCAACCATCTGTTGTTTGTGTTGAAAATGGATTTATTTTAACTTCCTTCAGTAGCTTGCAAAATGACATTGTCTATACACTGGCACTGCTATACATATTAAAAGTAAAGTTCAGCCTATTTTACGTCCCACTGCTGGGCACAGGCCTCCTCTCATTTCTGAGAGGGTTTTAGGGCAAGGAATGATTGCTATACATATTAGATTATTATAATATAATCTACAAAAAATATTCAAAAAGTTTGTAAAGGGAGCAAGCATAATCGCTGCAGTGTACTATATTGTGTTGATCACTTTTACTTTTAAAATTTTGTTCTGTATCTTAACTGATATAACTGGAAATTACCACTTTTTTATAGAATAAGGGTGACAAACTAGCACACAGTCCACCTGATGGTAAGTGGATGCTGTGGTCCATAGACATTTATATTTATCCTCAATTAAGAATCAAAATGCAGATACGTTGTTACCCTTGAGTTCTGAGATGGAATGCCTCGTTTGCAGTAAAAAGGGTATCTCTACATTCACCATACGAAACATAGCAGCATTAAGCTGCTATTTACGCTGGTATTCTGTGAGAGCGTGGTCCTACCTATTCGTGCTGCAACCACAATATCGCTACAGCATGGCTCTACCACGTACAATTTTTTTGGTTTTAAAAACTAGATTCATGATAGGGATTCAAATTGATCCCATGGCCCTGCACAACATAATATCAAGTCTTCTACGATCATTCATTAAAATGGAAGAATAACGAATTCGTAATAGGAGCGTTGCCAAAAGTGAGGCGGTACCTTCATTATAATATTGGCATTATAATCGTCAACAAATCCACGTTCATTTTATAGAATATTCGAAAGTGTGTTTTACCAACATCCGGCTCATTGCCTTATTTTTAAGTCCGTTTACGTAAAAAGTAGAATGTTACACAATGTTTGTCCAGCTCATAAAGACGTAACACAACCTGTGTCCTTTACTCCTCTACTTTGTTTGTTCATGTAGGTAGGTAATATTGTATAAACATATTGTTTATAAGTATTTTTTCAGATATTTCCTTTCAGAATAATACTGTGAATTATAAAGAAAAAAATTTATAAAAAGATAATAGTGACAGATGATTTCATTATTATGTATTGATACATAACAACGGAGACGCTCGGCTTACTACACAATAATTAATTTGAACATAACAACTATGAAAATGAATATTTTATTTATTTTATTATTTTTTCTAAACAAAATCTAAAAAAATATAATTTTCGTCTTCGCCTCTGTTTAGATGGTATTTGTTACAACAAAACATGACGACAAATTGCAGTACATTATTGCATTTTAACTTTCTTTCAAATAACTGCTGTTTTAGGTGTTTAAGAAAGACTACACTGGACTTGCGAGTTTCCAAGATTTCTTTTGTTTTGAAAAATAATTTGACAAGTAACGCTTAAAATAATAAAATTAATATTAAAAGATTAAAAGTAATTTTACGACCGTCCTTGCCATATATGGTCATGTCTTCGTGGCGCAAATACGGCTCTAGCATAACACTACATGCGCGTTTTATGTACACGCTATTATAAATCTTAAAGACAACACAAACAACGCTTTAATTGCAAATTCAACTCGATATACTTTCATGTATGCATACACATTTCATCGATTACAACGCTTCCTGTATGTACAGTAATGTCATTTTTTTTAAAATAATTAACTAAATGTGAAAATATCGCTGTGCGACATGCTGAGGAAATGATTGACAAAACATTTAGCACTAAGCGAATTAATATTACTCGCGAATAAATTTTAAAGTTTATAAATGGCGACGTTATTGATCTATAGGGACAAAGTTGCCTGTATAAAATAATAATGTATGCAGGATTGTCCTTTTTCCATGAAACCGTGATTTGAAATTTATTTAATTATTAATTAAAATATATTGTACTTAGTTATAGCGTCAGGTTAGTCAAGATGCCCAGATATCGACCCTGTGATATTTATTGAATATGTAATAATGATACTGGTTATGACAGCAGCATCTTCCTGATGATTGAATTTAAAATAATAAAAATATACGGTGGCAAAATCGTATGCCAAGCGTGGCAGCACGGCAAATATTCCCCCTATAAGGCAGTATTTGGGGAGACTTACTTGACTTTTAATAGGCGCTTACGCATACACGCCCCAGCCTGTTTGTTATGACTAGCGCGCGAATGGGTCGGTCGAATCGGGAAAAGACCACGCTCGCACAAAATGCTGCTGTGTTTCTTATGGTGAGTAACAAGAAACTGAGACCCATTATATTGTTAAGTTGATCTTAATCTTCAAATGTGACAACGCATTTTTGTTACATTTAGACGTTTATAGGCTAGTGTCTTCTTACCATCACGTGAACTGTATGCTCGTCTCGCTTACTTGTAAACCATTAAAAAAGCTTGATTTGCACCCTTTATCCAAACATAATTACAGTTGTGAAGTCAGACACAACACGTTCGCGCTCTTCGCGTTGTTGTTTGTTAATTATATATTTGTTGTTACCCTTGTTTTTTTTTTTAATAAAATATGAATGCAGATAACAATAGAAGGGGAGTTGTTTGAGCAAGCGGCTGAGTTTGTGTATTTGGGATGTGTTTTTACCAAGGATGGTGGATATGATAAGGATATAGAACGACTAGTAAACGCAGGAAATGGAGTAAATGGGGCTCTGTACTCTATTGTGGGAAGTAGAGAATCTATAACGCACGTATGACAATACACAATGCTGTGTTAATCCCTACGCTAATGCATGGCAGTGAAAGTTGGGTGTGGCAGCACGAGAAGGGTGAGGAATAGTGTGATAAGAGAAAAGTGTGGTTGGCAAGATGATGTTGTGACCAGAATTAAGAAAGGAATGGTTCGTTGATTTGGGTATGTAGAAACAATGAACGAGGAAAGAGTGACGAAGCAAATTTATGTTGCAGAAGTGAACGGAAAAGTCTGGAAGGGTCACGCCATACGAAAGTTAACCGACGACCATGTATGCGTAGGTATATGGATGTAAAGGAAGCGAAAGAGGTGTGTCAGGATCATGTCAAATGTAAGTCCGTAGTCTCTGTCTACCCCTTTGGGTGACAGGCGTGAGTGTTTATGCTTATTGTAGGTAACGTTACTCAGTATTCTCTCCTGCAAGCAAGCAGACATTATTTGTTATCTGACTCTGTACATGCGCAAAGCCGTATTTGCAGCGAATTTCACAATCGCCATTAAGTTTGAATCAAATAATAAACATAGTTATATGATTAAAATGAAGTCCTAATCAAAAATCTATCATTATAAAAATCTACTTGTCCAACTCAAAATATTTGCGTAGGTAGAGCCATTCTGCAGCTATGCTATCGTTATAGTACGAATGGGTCAGCTTGGCCGTTCAAGTACCACGCTCAGACAGATAGCAGCCTTACGTTGCAGTATTTCGTACTTTGTTACAAATGAAACAAGAGAATGACTATGCATCTGCATTTTGATTCTTATATGAGGATAGATAGACAGATGTCTATGGGCCACTTCATCCACTTACCATCAGGTGGACTGTGTGCTGGTTTTATTATTTGTATAGACAAGGTGACATCTATTCTATAAAAATAGAGTTATTAAATAATAAATTTGTTCCCCAGCGCGGCTTCCCGTTTGACGAGGAGGAGGGTACAGGCGCGTGGAGCGAGCTTGCGGCGCGGCACCCGGACATAGCGGCGCGGCTGCGGCAGCGACCCGCCACCTGGGCCAGGAAGCGACGCCCCTCCAGCCAGGACGCGACTGACGGTAAGCACGCCTTTGGTAACCACTAAAAACTTATCATTGTGATTTCTTTTATTTACACGGGTACTCGACGTTGAATTAAACTCTTTTTACGGATTATATCGTGATTATATTATAATTAAACGCTATAAAATCCGTAAAATTCGTTTTATACAACTTGCCATTGAAGGCGGCTTAAAGAATTCCTCAACTCATTTCGCCCCCTTTAGTGCCGGAGAAGGCGATTATGGGAAAAAGCTGAAAATCTTATAGCTGAAAGGTTTTGTTGTGTTGATATAACCGTGTAATGGCGGTGTAGAGAGTATCCACCACCCCATATCGTCCCGTAGGTATCGTAAAAGGCGACAAAGGGAAACTGAATAGAGGTGGGCAGCAGCATGTTCCTGATAACAACTCGTAACAATAAAAAATGCAAAAACCCGCCTGCCAAGCATGGCAACTATGGTCAAATCCTCCCTATGAGGCAATATGAGGGAAAGGCTATGTTCAGCAGTGGACTTTTAGGGGTGGAATGGATTATAACCATCTCGAATATGCCTGTAAAATACTGAGACTGGCGATGGGCAGCAGCTTCAAAGGTTCGAGACGATCGTCAATTTATCTGACAAGCGAGATTATTTAGGAAAATACTGCCTATAGTGGAAAAGGCGCATGCTTAGCTGTACACTTATAAGGGCTAATGCTAAAGAAATAAAAAAATTTTCCTTAATTAAAATTTCGTAAATGTCATATATGTTGCCTCTTGTATAAAAAAGAATCACATTTAAGGAATTTTGCTGAATATAACGTATTTTTTTATAGGATAAGGGTGACAAACGGGCACACAACCCACCTGATGGTAAGTGGTTGCTGTGGCCCATAGACATCTTCATCTATCTTCGATTAAGAATCAAAATGCAGATGCGTTGACACCCGTGAGGACTAAGATGGAATGCCTCGTTTCCAGTAAAAAGGGTCTCCGGTTCTCTACATTCACCATACGAAACACAGCAGTGTTAAGCTGCTATTTGACGCTGGTATTCTGTGAGAGCGTGGTCCTTCCCCGGTCGAGCCGACCCATTCGTGCTACAATCATAATATAGCTGCAGCATGGCTCTACCACTTATAAAAACCCGTTGGTTTTATATGTGGCAAGGGTTGGGCCTTGTCCGTGGGTGTTCCCAAGGCCCAACCCTCTTGTTTTACCGTTTCTGTTTTTACTTATTATAAGCCAGAGCTTGATCACTATTCCGCTTGATGGTAAGTGGTGATGACTCTGAGGATGGCAAAGCGAATGATGTCTATTCTTGTTATGGCTAAGATACCTCTACATAATTTTGGATGTAGTGTCAATTTATATGTTGTGAAAAACCCATCACAATACCCGGGACTCGAACACCAATTAATTGACTGGGATGTAAACTTTTGAACTCCAAACTGCAATCAAATTTGCAACCTCGACTACCTCCATCATGCCATTTTAGTTTCATTAGTTTGCAAATCCAGTGTCAGTGTCTTAAGACTGATTCAGGATACAGCCAATATGAACAATACGTCTGGTGGCACAAATATAGTAAAATTTATACTTGTATAAGTTAATATTGATTTTTTCAATATTTCAGACACTCACGGAAGTATTTGCTCTTTACAGGTTGTGTAAAAAAACGTTTAATTATTGCAGATTTTGACGACAACTTCAGCGGCTTCGACAGATTCCCGTTTGACGACATCCCAACAGAGTTCAGAGAGCATTTCCCGTCACATTGGAACCGCCGGTACGGTACCCGAGACGAACCACATCAGCAGCAGCCGCCTTCACCGCAGCCACAGTCGCCACAACAGCATTCTACAGCTACACAGACTGAACAGGCACCGGGACCATCCCAGGACGATCAACAGTCTCATTTACCACAGTACGGATTAAGAAACACAGTAGACCTTGGACAGAAAAGCCCCGCACACCCTGGTTTGGTTGATGAGGACGACCGAAATCATCGGTCTATGTCAGCGCCCCCCGATAATCGCACATCAGGTCACAGTAATATAAACAAAATGAGTGGACACAATAACCAGGAACAAGCTCACCATCCGCAAACTGAACAACAATCTTCCAATGTACGACACATCCCTATTTTCGTGGAAGGCAGAGATGAACCTGTAATTAATAAATCAGTAGACCGTGGTACGCACTTTGGTGACGCTAAGCCTACCTACGTACCTCCGTCACAACCACATATTGATAGAGATCAGTATTTTGCCGATGATGGTCCTGTCAATTTCCACCATCCTCCGAACTTCTCGAGGACGTTTGGTACCCCATTTAATAAAGGATTTAGACAGGGACCACAACCGTTTGTACAGCAAAAAGTGTATCCACAAACAGCGTTTGCTCGCGGTGCGTCCCCACAGAGATCCCAGTCTCCTAAACCACAAATGCCCCCAGAAGAGCATTATGTAAAGGTACCAGTCCATCATGAGCAGACACCCAGAGCTGAGACTCCGTCCAGAGCACAGCAGAAGCAGCCTCCGCGCCAGCCTACCCCTCAGCGACAGTCTACGCCCCCTCAACAGCCTCCCCCGCAACAGAATGCTCCACCGCAGCAGCAAGCTCCACCGCAGCAGGAAGCTCCACCGCAACCGAAACCTCAGCCGTCTATGAATGATCCTATAACGCAGATCCTAAGCATCCAAACTGATGTTCTAAATCTTATGTCAGAAGTTGAAAACTTTACTGGTACGAAGAAAGACAAAAGATATTTGTACCTTGACGAAATGCTTACCAGGAATCTTATCAAATTAGACACAATCGAAACTGATGGCAAAGAAAACATAAGACTGGCAAGGAAGGAAGCTATTCGTTGCATTCAAAAATGCATAGCCGTGTTGGAAGCTAAAGCTGAAAAAGGCAGCAGCGCTTCTCAACATCAAGATGTTGAAATAGAGAATTCTACGACTAACGAGCAGGGCGCAGAAAATGGTGAAGTAGAATTGAAAAATGTTAGTAACACAGAAACTACAACAGAGTCTGAAATGGAGCAAGAAAATTCTGAAAGCCCTAAAAAGGAAGAAATTGAAGAACATAAGCCAAAAGAAGAAAAAGTTGAAGTCGCGCCCTCTACCGAGAGCAAGGAGGTTGGTCAACCACAAGTCGCAGACACGCGGCCAGAACAACAAGTTAAAGAACAGATCCCAGAAGTCACAGCAGATGAAAATGTAGAAAAAGAAAAGAAAAGCCCCAAAAAGGGCACGAAAAATGTAAAGAAACGTGATAAGAGTAAGGATAAGAAAGATGCAACTAATGATAGTATTAAGGAAGTAAATGTTGAGAAGAAAGATGATAAGTCCCAAATAAATCCAGTAGAAAAGGTAGAACCAAAGAAGGATGAAAATGAACAGAATAAAGATGCGAAAGTAGAACAAGGGACAGAAGATAAAGTTGAACAAAAGAAAAATGAGAAATTAGAAGCTATGCAGATTGATGGTAAGGGCGATAGCACGGAGACGCAAACAATGGAAGTAGACAGTCATGCTAGTCAATAAATATAGTTTGCATTAGTGAATTGTTTCTTATAGTTACACAGCTACTAAGCGTCGCACGGGGCCTACAATCTGCCTTTTTTTCTCCTTCGTGTTAATTCTTTGTGTCTAAATAACAAGGTGTTGACATGTATTGTTTGTTTGTAAAATTTAACATCTACTTTGTGTAAAGGATGCTGTCCATAGGATTTGAGATGGTCTCCTCTTGTTTAAATCCTAATATTTAATAATTTATTGTTTATCAGTACTTGATAACGCAAATTTCTCAATAAACTATATCAATTCACAAAGTGTGTTTTAATAAATAACTCGATTTTCATGTTTATATTCTATATTTGATGCTTTAATTAAATGTATTCAAGTTGTATAAATAAGTTTTTTTTTTTCTAAAATAAGATCACAGAAATAGTATAGCCAAAACACAAATTATTTAATATTGCCAATATCAGCTTAAACCCAGCAAAGTACCATTTAGTAGTTAAGTAACCCTAAGAAAGCTCGAGACAGATTTTTATCCAATATCCTTTAATTAAAATGCAAGTATCCAGTAGTTCTAAAAAGCGAACTGTTTGAATATAAGCACAGAATAAATAATAGTTAAAAGAACAGAAGGATCACTTTCTGATAGCAAACTTGCGAGTTATACTTTGCACGCCTCGGAAGTGAACTTCGTGAAATTAGCCTACCGTTTATTTCATCTAAAAAAATTATGTGGTGCGCGTATGAAATCAAAATACACCTTAAGTCCGCGTGCGAGTGTCTGTATCACTTAGCCCGTTACGCGCCTTTGTTAAGACCGCTTCTACTGTAGGGTTAGGTGTTGTACGAAAACAAATTGAATCCTTTGATATTATATAGTGGTATATAGTAGTACAATGTATTAGTATTTCTTTTATTTAATACATTATCGTTTTATGTAATACTAGCTGTTCCCCGCGACTTCGCCCGCGTGTTATTTGGAGTTTTAATTTTTTTGCGCGGAACCCTAATTCCTTTTCTAAAACAAAAGTAGCCTAAGTTACTCCTTGTGACATCAGCTATTTGCCAGTGAAAATCCCCCGTCAAAATCGGTTCAGCCGTTTCGGAGATTAGCCGGAACAAACAGACAGACAGAGACAAAAACTTTAAAAATTGTAATTTTGTTGTTAGTACCGTATATATTTTCATCTGCATTTTGTAAAAAGCTGTAATTTTGACATTACAAACAGGTAAATATTTGCCATAGTATCCGTGCTTGGCAGGCAGGTTGGCAACTGCAGTTTTTTTTATTGTTTTTTTTATTCATTTTCCACTATCAATTCCTGTGACACCCACGGGATGTTAAGAGGTAGTAGATTGCTAATACAGTATAGTGGGAGCATAAGGCCCCACTATACTGTATTAGCAAAATATTATCCAATCCAAGGAAATACATTGTTGTTAGATTTCACTTTAGTTATATTAAAATCCTATTGATTAAATTATATTTCTACTATATGGGATATCAAAGCAAAATTTCGACAAAGTGAAATAAATACCAAATAACGAGATTTATTTTTTGTAAGCGATTTGAAAAAGGGAGGTAAGTATATTGACTGCCTTTATGTAAAATCGTAGATTTCCTCTATACTCAGAGATTATAAGATACAGCGGATGTTTATTGCTATTCATTAATATAAATTAAAAACAGGGTGATTTCAATAGGGATAACATAAAGCTGTCCATAGACGTTAAGCAATCACTATAGTATATGATATAACATTAAAACAAAAATGTGTGTAATTTTACACGATAAAATATTGCATATTTTATAAATTATATTTTTAATATAAATATCGTTAGGTCGATGACTTATTCACTTAGAACTTAACAAGGAATTAAGGAATTGTTTGCAAATGAGGAGGCTGTGTATGATGAAATAAGACGGTAAACTATTCCCACTCCTTCAAGACTCGATCCCAGTCCTCGTCCGCTATGAATGGCTTGTCAATACATGCGATCATGTACTCGCCGCAGAATATGCACTCGCTTGCGACAATGTCGTCTATCTCGTTCTTGAGTACTTCGCGCAGAGGCAGTCCGTTGGAAGTGGGAGTGGAGAGTTCTATATTGCTCAACACCGATAGTTGACGCTGGAGGTCGCTAAGCTTGTTGCGGCGAGCTGGTCCTGCGGAAAATTTATAAAGAATTATACGAATGCCTGCGTATGATGTAGACGCGAGCGAAACCGCTTGACCTATTTTGACTTTCACTGGCAGATAGCTGATGTTTTAAGGAGTAACTTAAGATACTTTTATTTTAGAAAAAGAATTAGGGTTGCCGCGCAATAAAAATAAAACCCTATGAAATTCAATTGTAATAAATTTCACGCGAGCGAAGTCGCGGGGGGGGGGGCAGATAGTTCGAAATATACCCCTTACAATCCTTATGTCTTTATTTTCCCCTGTATAATTGGCACTTTTTCCTTATTAGGTGGTTAGACTCCTTTTATGCCTAGACGTCCGTCTGAATAGGTGAATTATAAAATTTACATTTTTAGGGTTTCGCCGTTTTACTAGGAGAAGCCTTACTAGCTTGTAGGCTATATCTATTTCTGCCTACAAGGTCTATCTATAAAGGTACCATACTCTTACCTATTTCTGTGCTCCGGTCTAAAGGGTATTGGTATAGGGTCAGTAAAATTACACACTGTGTGGCATTCTTCCTTAGTCTTCAGTGGTGACAACGTATCAATAACCTTCTATGTTTGAACACGGCTGCAGTTGTCCATAGACTGCAATAGCTAAAACTACCACTAAATGCTAAAAGCACCAGCGTAAAATAGCACCTCATTCTGCTGTGTTTCGTATGGTGAATGTAGAGAACCGGAGACCCGTTTTACTGGAAATGAGGCATTCCCCATCTTAGTCCTCACGGGTGACAACGCATTTTCATTTTGATTTTTAATCGAGGATAGATGTAGATGTCTATGGGCCACAGTATCTACCTACTGGACTGTAAATTCTCTTGTCACTTCAGTTTCATATAAAAAAACTGACAACACAGGCACAGATGTTGCCTGTAAATCATATATAAACAGTTCTTGAACACTATGGACTTTCAAGATGGGGAGACAATATGTTGAAATTAAAACTTTCAAATATCGGCCATATAACGATTTCCAAATAAGAAGTTAATAAATTAATGCTAACAAAATAATTATTTAGTTGCAACATTTTCAATTTGTACTCTTAAAAGCTATCAAAAAATAAACCAAAGAAGACATCCTAAGTGAACAATGAACATGGCTCCGTGAATTCTCATGCTCAGTTCGCAGCACTGACCTAGTATGGGCTGTATTTCCGCAAGCAGACAATCGCTGTGGAAACGGTGACCACAGGGGAAAAGGTAGAAGGGGCGTAGCAGAAGCGTGATGTCGCACAGGCAGCACGCGTCCGTCACAGAAACGATCACGCTGCGGTTGCGAAACGACTGGATCTCCGCACGAACCTGCAATCAGTTATGAATTATGACGGAATCATAAAGTTATATTGGACGATTTCAACCACGATGACCAGCAAAAATAAAAGTAAATTTTAATTTCTATTTCATTCATTCATTTCATTGCACGTGCCACCATTTAACGCCTCATTTAAATCGTATTATGCACTACATAGACCCTCACGTAATATATAAATATAAAAGCCACTGTAACTTACGCATTCGGCCGATTTTGTAGCATCCTCCATTTCAGCCTTAAGATCTTCTATTTGTGTGTTATATTCCTACAACAAACGAAAAATTCATATAACAACATATTGCTGAAAAAGTTTAGAGATTATAATTGTAACTATTAACAAAAAGTAAGAACCGACTTCTAATATTATTTATTTGCTACCATTAGGGATGGAATTTTTTGTCCAAATTTATGAGGGACCACCCTTGAGGTATGACCTAATTAATAACAAAAATCATCAATATTGGTTCACAATTTGCGAAGATATCGCGTAACATACATACAAAAACAAGAACACACTCGAATTGAGAACCTCCTCCATTTTGAAGTTGGTTAAAATTCAGATAGTTTAAAGACAATGGCAGACTTTCATACATAAAATTAGTTGAGAAGAAATGGTACCGTCTATATACCAAAAATATCTTAAAATGTTAAGCGTCAGTCCCTTAATAACTCTGTCAAAGAATTTTGTACTGAGAAGGCGTCAAAAAAAAGATATTTACATTTGAACCTTTTTAGGTTATGTCCTATGTCACTTGGAAAAAGTCATGCTTCCTGTGGTTGTTTAATGTTAGCTTAATACATAATTGAGAGTTTTTAGATTATTGTATCTCTATTATATATTTGCATACTATAAATGTATATTTCTGGCATGGCTCCAGGGCTTTTGTACCATAGTGACATTATCAGAAGGGCTAGAACCCAGAGCCGTAAAGCCAGTAAAAAAACGGTGACATTTTATTTTAGCTAGTGTTGGCATAACATTAAATGGAATTGTTACATAGTACTATGATTGAGATAATGTATTATTGTAGGAAATTCTTTGTAAGAGACTTATTCTCAGCCATATCACTTTTATTTTTGTTATTACTGATAGTACAGTTATTACTAATAATAACTTAATATAAAAATATTATGTGTGTTGTGTTGGTAGTGTTACAAAGTGTATACGAAAATAGTATGAATATAATAAATGGCAATATTTGAATAGAGTAAAATGATATGTCATTTGATATTCCCAAAAATGTTTGTTTTTTTTCTGTGGCTTTAATTAAAATACATTTTTATTTGAAAAATGATAGAAAAATAATATAACTCATTTTATATATAACTTATTTCTAGACGCTATAATTTTTGTCAACTATTTTTCTGCCATTGCTCTTTGCGTTATTACTATGAATGACCAAAAAGGCACAAACTAAAAGAATAACAAAGTTTGAATTAAAAAAAGAAATTACATAACACGATGTATACCTGTAAGGACTGACAAATAGGTTCTCTGAAATGGTCTATCGTGACTACATCGCTGAAGAACGGCAGAATATCTTCGATTTTAATTAGAGGGCACTCCTCAAGCAGGCTCATCGCTTCCTTAAGATCCTGGTTTTTGGTGATCACATGCTCGGCTATAGACAGAGATGTGTTTAAAAAAAAATTGACTTCATACATTTCACTGTTAGTATAGCAGGTTTTAGACACCGCTTATGTATGCTTTGTTGCAGTCGCCTTTTCTTCCGGCCTTCTTTTCTCACTTTATATCTTACTAACTGATACCCGCGACTTCGTCCGCGTTGCTTGATATATTAACAAAGTTTTCGTATGTGCGAAGGAAAACAAATCAAAAAGATCGCAAGCAAAAATATACTTTGTCTTTACTTAAAAAATCGTTGTTTCTTAAAACTTTAATAACTTTATATTAAATGAAGATATCGCAATAATTTTATAGATAAGGGCCAAATGTCTAAGAAATAAAACTTAAAAAAAAAGAAATCTATCCAGCAGTTTTCCATTTTATTTATATAGAAGTAGTCGACTCATAAATACATACAAGCATTTGAAAAATGCGTCAAACGGCATGCATCCATAGGAAGTTATAACCGTTCTCTCTACGCTGTCAAACAAGGGGCATATGGATCGATAAACACGGAATCGACACTTTTCATTGGTAACACTGCTTTCCATCACAAAGTCTGCTTGGGGTTTTGCTTGGAAAAAGGGTTTGAAAATGTCGAATTTTCGGATAGATTCACCGCCATTTGGAGGTCGATGATTAGCAGACAGACAGACGTTTCGTCCCTCTTAAATTAAAGCCCTCCTGTTTGTAGCTAAAAAGCTGACGATGAAGAAGAAGGAAGATTGTTTAGCTTTTTTTATAGAATTAGGGTGACAAACGAGCACACAGTCCACCTAATGGTAAGTAGTTGCTGTGGCCCATAGACATCTACATCTATCTTCGTTTGCGAATTAAATGCAGATGCGTTGTCAGCCGTGAGGACTAAGATAGAATGCTTCTTTTTCAGTAAAAAGGGTCTCCGGTTCTCTACACTCACCATACGAAACACAGCAGCATTAAGCTGCTATTCTACGCTGGTATTCTGTGAGAGCGTGGTCCTTCCCCGGTCGAGCCGACCCATTCGTACTACAACTATACTATTAATATAGCTGCAGCATGGCTCTACCACGTAACTCGTAAATGGTATCGGACTATACCTAAGGGTAGCGTAGAAATTGCCCCTTCGTAGAAAACAAATTTTCACCGTTTACAACATTAAAATTATCCATCCCTCCATTACAGTCTATAAAAGAATCAGTTAAACAGAAGTTTTCCCATAGATTGCCCCCATATGCGGCTTATTCCATAGTTGCCACGCCTAGCAGGGGGTTGGAAACTGCAATTTTTTATAATTTTGAGTTGTCAAGTTCTAGGGTGCGTTTTTAAGTTCGCGGAATGGGGGGGGTAAGGAGTGGAAATAAAAATGCAAATTTATTTTTCCTTTTCAATATATTCATTATTATATGTATTTGAAAGGGACGAAGAGAGAACGAAGTGTGAAATATGGGTAAATCAGGAATGTCTAGAACAAGTAAATGAAATTGTATACTTGGGGAGTGCTTTTAGCCGGGATGGAAGATGTGATTTAGATGTGGACAGGCGTGTCGCTGCCGGGAACAAAGTCAATGGTGCCCTGGCTGCGTTAGTCAAAAGCATGAAGCTAATACAAAGGGGAGACGGCATAAGCAACTGTGCACTGTGATTCTAAGTAGGTCCTGCCGTCATCATAGTGGGCGTGGCTTTAGTTAGTATACTGTCAGCATTCGTCCTGTGCGCTCATGTGTTGAAAAAATCGCAAATCGATGTATTTTCGTAGTATTAAGAAGAAAAGGATGAAGTGTTGTGTTCTGTTGTGTAAAAACTACTCAGATAGACGCTCTGATGTTATGGATGGCATCACATTTCATTTGTAAATAATTTTACACCTAATTTATTAAAATAGTTCTAGAAAAATCTCTTTGCGTTGGCTTTCAAATATAATTAAATATATTCGACACTAGATGGCGACACTTTGTGTCATGTGAACTAAAAATATAAAGGTCCGTAGAGCTCAGTATTGGTAAAATAAACATACGAAGGTGCTGAAATTTGTTTTGCATTCAGATATAAAGTAATTTTAATCGCAAAATATTATTTTATAGTTTATAATCATTATGTGAACAGGCCGTATTCTATCGTCAAGTAAACCTCATAAAGATAACAAAAAGACAGTGCCGTAATTAGAATTCAATTATTTTATTCAGTAATCTAACTTTCAATATTAAAATGAAGGAAATTGTACTTAGGCTGATTTTCACGAAATATTTAAGTTATATTTAAGTGACATTCTATATGCAAAGAATCACTTAAATACAATTTAATGTTCTTAGATTGGCATTCAAAAAGTGCATTCGGATGCCTAATTTGGAATAAAATATTTATATTTTAATTGATTTGTAAATAAAATTATATTAATTATAATAATATGTCTATTATTTGTTCTCCCATGAGATATTAAGTAGTATAACCCACAGATAAATAATAGTCCATCCGTTTCTGCGTGAAAAAATTACACATACACAGTACATACTTAGTGTGGAATAAGCTCAAGGAGACAGAAAGAACACACAAAATTTCGCCTTTATAATATTAGTGATATAAATAGGATATTTAGTTGCAAATTAAATATCCTACTTAATATTGAACATAGAATATTTAGTTTCAAAGAGACTTTATTTTATGGATAAAATAAATATTTTTTGAAGGTTGACTTTCACGAAATGATAAACATATTTAAATTGTATTTAAGTGATTCTTTGCATATAGAATGTCAGTTAAATATAACGTAAACATTTCGTAAAAATCAGCCAAGTACAATTTCCTTCATTTTAATATTGAATGTTGGGTTACTGGGTAAAATAATTGAATTCTAATAGCGGCCCTGTCGTTTTGTAATTTTTTATGAGGTTTACTTGACAATAGATGGCGGCCTGTTCCCAAAATTATTATGAAAACTATAAAAATATTATTTTGACGATTAAAATTTCTTTGTCTGAATGTATTTGCTTCATGAGATAGACGCTCCGATGCTATGGATGGCATCACATTTCATTTGTAAGTAATTTTACACCTAATTTATTAAAATAGTTCTAAAAAAATCTCTGCGTCGGCTTTCAAATATAATTAAATATATTCGACACTAGATGGCGACACTTTGTATCCTGTAAACTAAAAATATAAAGATACGTAGAGCTCAGTAACGATAAAATAATCATACGAAGGTGCTAAAATTTGTTTTGCATTCAGACATAAAGAAATTTTAGTCGCCAAAATATTATTTTTTAGTTTATAACATTTTGTGGACATGCCGCCATCTACCGTCAAAGTAGCTAAGCTACATTGCAACATTGATATGGAAAGATTCGAGTAGTTTTACTATTTATCGGTAGATGTAGATAGTGTAGTGGGCGAGGCTTTGCATCCCCTCACCCCGCAAATTGTCACGCGTTGTTTCATAGTGAAATTGAATTACAACGTCTCCTCTTTGTATTTGCTTCATGGTCAAAAGGCAAGGCGTAGTGAAGAGTGCACGCCTTGCAATACATAACGCAGTGTTGGTACCGACTTTGTTATATGGCAGCGAAACCTGGGTATACCAGAAGAAGCATAAAAGCAAGTTGAATGCAGTGGAGATGCGATCTCTTCGTAAAATGTGCGGCGTTACCATGGCCGACAGAAAGCGAAACGAAGAGATTCGCAATATGGCAGGTTTGAAAGATGACCTTATCACAAAAATTGATAAGGGCGTGCTTCGGTGGTTTGGGCACGTTGAGCGAATGAGTGAAGACCGAATGGTGAAGAAAATATATAGCGCGAAAGTTAATATTAAAAGGTGTCGAGGTAGACCGAGACTAACTTTCGAAGACCATGTGAGCAAATTGCTCGAAGAGGGGAGGGTCAAGAGTACTCGGATACCTAGACGTGCATGTATGAAGAAGATAATGAATCTGAAAGAAGCGAAAGAGGTATGTAAGGATCGTGACACTTGGCGATCTGTTCTCTCTGGCTACCCCGTCAGGGATTGTGCGTGAAGATAAGTAAGTAATATATTCACCTGCTACCCTAATACATTTTTTGATCTTTCAATTAACTTATTGAATTAACTTCAATTACAGGACTATAGGGTGGGTGTGGCAAAACTTCGAAGCCCACCTTCTGCAGGGCAGCCATCGCAACATGGCACTTGTGAACAGGCGCGTTGTCGTGCAGAAGAAGGTTCCCTTTGGTCAATTTTCCCCTTCTTTTCTCCTTTATGGCTTCCTTCAATTGTTCTAGGATTGATGCGTAGTAATTTCCGGTTATGGAGATACCTTTATCTTTATAATTAATCAATAGGATTCCTTCTGAGTCCCAAAAGACTGTCGCCATGATTTTCCCAGCCGATTGTGCCACCTTAAATTTCTTGGGTGGTGGTGTGCCTTTTTTTGTGCCACTGCATAGAGTCCTGTTTGGACTGAGGTTCATAATCGTGAACCAACACGAGCCAACACTCTTCTATACAGAGGTCGGTTGCGCTGTTGCTTTTGAGGCGGCGTGAGCATTCTAGGCACCCATCTTGCGCTGACTTTAATCATGCCAAGATGGTCATGAAGAATTTTGAAAGCATTCTCCATGTTTTTTCTTGAAAAAAATAATATTAGAATGCCTAAGGCATCTTCTAATATTATTTTTTCGACTTTTTGAATAATTTCCGAAGTGGTCACCTCGATCGGCCTTCCTGGCCTTGGGTCGTCTTCAAGAGATTCTCTGCCTTGTTTAAAAAGGTATGCCACTTGTAAACTATAGTTTTACTTGAACAAGAGTCTCTGTAAACGGATGAAATCTCTTCCAGTATAGTCTGAACTGATTTTCCGCGCTTGGCAAAGAACTTTATAACGGCACGGAACTCGATTTTCTCCATATTTCACAATTTCTTCCCGATTGACTTGTTTGTTTGACGATAACTCAAAGACTAATAATCTAATTACAATAAAACCCGGTATTTATACTAATAATGAGTTGCTCAATTAGCAAGTAATTCAGCGACGTCCCCGCTTATTACCTACCTACCCATTCCGCGACCTTAAAAACGCACCCTCGTAGCTGCTGTCCATCTCCTATTTCAGTTTCACTCTGTCGCCTCTTACCATACCCATGGCCCTATATGGGTTAGTGGATAGTCACATCGCAACTACATAACATAAAGAACTGCGTAGACAACTAGCTTAGGAGATGCCACGTGTCTCATTCTTTGTCGTTTATTAGTTCTGTCCGACGTGGTAATTATTTTAGTACAAGCATAAACGGTTCATTATCATAGACATTGCATAGAGGTTACCCTGTGCCGTACTGTGATGGGAGATGCATACTTAATTTATTTTGGTGATATGATATATAATATTGTAATTACTTCTAAAGCGTTTCATAAATATTTTATCTCGTAAAGTCGTTACTAAGTAGTGATCATTTATTTACATATTTAAGAATTATAAAAGTATTTTTAACAAATAATTATATATCTTAGTGGGTTAAGAACATGCATTATTGTTAATTTGCTAAGAGAAGAATAACAGTTTGTTTGTTAGTGTAATTGAACCTTCTAATTTATTTCCACAAGCATATTTATATTAGAAGTATGATGTGTTTCACTACCAACATCCTTACATGCCCCTTTCCAAAATTAAAAGACAACAAATCTATGCTCACCGATGCTCAACCAAAGTCGCCGTTGCATTTCCGTTTCTTCTGGTAAACTGGCCACGCTCTTGGCCAGAGACACGTCGACATCTAGCGCTAACTCCACCGCCGCCTCCCACAACCCTAACAGAGCTGATAGCTTTACGCAAGCTTCAGACAGGCCTTTTTCTCGACACAGTCTGCAATTAAATATATGACCTAAGAGCCTCAGACAAACAAAGAGACGGAGCGATGCGTACATTTTAAGTGTGACACCGAAATCATACACAACTTCTTGACACGCACACATCACAGCTGTACGCACACATATGCACCTAAACTATGTTGTTGGTTGTAAATGATTTTTAAAGGATATGGGTGCATGTTCTTATAAGTTGAGCATGCTTTTGGTTTGGTTTCTGGGACACTTACTCCACTTCTTTGTCGGTCTGAGTATGTGAAATAACATTAGGTATCTAGATCGGTTATTTTATATGCTGTAAAGATATCTAGTGTGAGTTGTGTGCCATGATAGCCTGAGACCGATATTCAGACACAATTTCGAGCTTCACAATGTCTGTCTGTCTGTCAAATTTTGCATTTTTGAAATTTTGAGCTCTAAATTTTTTTTATTGATACAATCATTTAAATTGACACGATCTCAGAAGAAATTTTAACTTTCCCTTAAATTAATATATAAGCCTAATTTTGATAATTACATAACAGACACCTAAAGTGTTTTCGGCGCAAGTTGATAAGTATTAAGAAAACGTCTCAATCGCGATTGCTGCTTACGTATCGAACCTATGTGATAGAAGTCCCTTATCGCCGCAAGCACAGAGTTTAGTGGTACGAGGTCCGTACATGATATCAAGTGCGAGGCGAGCGCCGACACGGTTGCCATCTATTAGCAAACATAATTAGCGGGCCGCAATCTCTAATGAGTTTAGGAACCCTACATTTTATCAACTTTCGACTTACACACTGTAGGCCATTCTATAACTGTTCCGTTACACTACATTTGATATGAAATACAAAAAAAAATTAAAAACCTACAAATTAAAAAATTTGTAAAGTGAATTTGAAATATTTACTTTGTTTCAATTTACATACATGTACTAACCTTAAGGCATAATGTACATCAAAATTAATCATAGCCAGATCCTGTCCCTGTCGAGATAAATACCTCATCAGGGCCGGTTTATTCTTTTCAGCATACAATGTCAACAGGTAATTATGTATCGCTTTATCCTTCACATTAAAATTTTGCAGCATAAATTCCAAATATCTGATGATTTCTGATACATGCTCTTCATCATTCTCACAAGCGAGGAATGCTGGTAGTAATTTCGAGGGGATAAGTCTCGGTCCTTGGGATATCAAAGCATTGACAGTATGTTTCGGCGTTTTCTCCATCAGCATTGGCCCGAATTGATAAAACAAATCAGGCCTTTGAAGGCCCTGTAAAATTTTCAGTGCTTCCAAATAAGATTTTTTGTAAATATTCTGTTCTATTACATTCTCATAATCTTCATTGATTATTGTCAATTTTATAAGATTCTGCTTATCCCCGTGGGATGACATAAGATCGTATATTACGGACTTCACATGTTGCATACATTTGACTACTTTAGTCTGTAGAAGAAATACTTCAAAGTCGCTTTGTATTTGATGAAATTCTTGGGTATCCTCTTTTCCTGTACGCCTTAAAGAACCAAGTTGAGAAAGATATAACTCAGTCATCCAAATAACTATCATTGAAATAAGAGTCTTATCATCCTCATTTAGAGCGTCTAATCGTCTAGACAGGTAAACCTTCAAAGCATTTACTTGGTCCACTTCCAAGAACTTGAGGCATACTGTCTCGAAACTACTCTGTGTGTCAGCAAATATTTCTGCACTTTTCTCGTAGTCTCCTTTAGAGAAAAGCAATTCGGCTTGTTTAACATTAATTATGTCAATGTAGGCTGGATTATTATGGCAATACTGTTTGGCTAGGTCGAACTCTTCTTTGTCCGAGTAAATTCTCCAAACATTTCTTTCTTCACGAATAACTTTGTACCTAAAAACAGCTTTATCGGTAACAGCCCAGATGGTCCTTCGAACCGGATCTTTAACAATATTTTTGAGTTTCCCATGAGCTTCAGAATATGTGTCTTGGTATACAAGTTCTTGGCTAAGAAGTGAAACAGCTTTAACTTTGTCAGCGAACATGAGAATGGCATGAAACTCCGTTAAGACAAAAGCCAAAGGAGTCCTTTCAGATACTTCTGTTTTATCAGCCGTTTTGTCTTTAGTGTCTGTCTTTTCAGGTGGGTAATTGATAAGTTCACCTTGTGTGAAGAGGGAATTTGAATTTTGTTGGGAAGTTGGATCAAGCTGTAAAAGAAACCAATAGTATTTATAAATCAAGATACTTTACTCCAATAAAACACTTTTCATAGTAATATTAATGTGAATTTGACTTATTAAACTGTATTTTTTCTTGTTTCAAGTTTAATTTTAGTACAAAACTTACCAAGAAATATTTATTTTTAAATTTATTAATATTTAAAATCAAAACAAACCTGTCCATAGAATATCCCAGGCTCTGTTAGCCAAGCAAATGTCTTTGGAGTATTGTTCTTGTCAAAATAAAACTGAAGTCTAGAGTATTTCAAAGTAGATGGTATCTCTTGAAAGCCAGTCTCCGGAATCGTTAAGTATGCGTGAAATATTGTTTGCAGTGATGGTTTGTTGTCGGTAAATACTGCATGGCCTATGAACTGGTACAGCCTAGTTGGAGTAGTAACAAATATGAAATATTTTGTGGTGTTGTTTACGCGATGGAATTGGATACCAGTTATTGGTGTGTCAGCTCCTTTACCAATGTCGAATATCTAAATTGAAATAAAAAATTAATTAGACTGAAGTGTACTGTTATAAAACATAATAGTTGAAAGTGCATAAATATAAGTTAACATGAAAGCAAATATTACTTATTAAATGTTTTGAATGTGTCAAACAATATAAAAATGTCCTCTAAGTAGTTAACTGCTCCATTGCTGATTGCGATTAACATAAAAAAGTAATCATAAAAAGTGAGTACAGTTAAAAAAATTGAGGAAGAAGCTAGTTATACTAAGCAACAGATTGATAAAATGAAAAATAACTTAATTAGGAAAAAAAATTACCAGTCCATCAATTTCCTTGCTTCCATAAAGAGGCAAGTAATTGGGCAGCTTGTATAGGAAGAGAAGAATTTAATAAATTCAAATACATGGAAGTACATACACAATACAACTAAAATTAATATTCTTCATTTAAGAATAGAGCATGCAATTGACATGTTTGTAAAACATAATACTGTACGACTTTCAACAAATACTATATGGTCATTCCATTGTGTTGAAATATGCCCAATTTTGACATACGTTGTTAATGAGAATCAAGATGATAAATCCAAAACACCTCTTTGAGAGTAGTAACGCTGACGGTGACAGAATAAATTGACAGATTTGAGTTGCACTATGTTCTCACCCTCTCTTAGAACCTCAGATAATTGTATAATATTACAGTGCAACTGCAGTTTTTCTTTTATGATTAAATTGTTTTCAGCATCATACTGCTGCCCTTTTTCTGGTTTACTTTGCCTGTGACATCTTACAACACCAACGGGATGATAAGAAGTAATGGATTTTTTATACCCTCACTACATAGCTAATTTATAATTATGATGTTCGCCATAGAACCAGATTAACAAATATAGCCCAATGGATCAGAAAGCTTAAGGCAATGAGCTGTTCATATAGCTCCAAAAACCAACAACTGATGTTAAAGAAAGATTCTAGGATGTAGTAAGGCATGAAGGAAGTCAATTGATGCAGTACAGGTATAAATAGCAGTACGAGTCTTGAGCTTGAAGTGACAGCATTTACACATGTACAATTTGCAGCTAATATGCTGCAGGCAAATGTCACATGAATATCCAATGAATGACAAAATAAACTAACGGTATGTTAACCATGCCCACGCTGGACCCTTGTAGTTAACCAAAAAGACTTATAAATCAACTATAGCACTGGTCAAGGGTGTGCTCTTGACTCGTGTCACTATGTATAACTCAGGATGCATTATGACATTACTTAGAGGTGGCTTATTTTTAACAGTTAACTTTTAAAGGGCTGTAATGATAATAACGATGATGATGAAACAGAAACAGAAACTTTTTTATTCAATATAGATTATAAATAATACTTATTGAAAGTCACTCTTTTGTATGATTACCACTAGTTCGAAAAAAAACCTCTGTCCTGGGAAGAACCAGCAAGAAACCCAGCGGGACTTTTTTTTTTAAATAACAGCTTACAATCATGTATGTTACACAAATTAACAACACAATAAATTAGAAATAGCTTGGTAGCGATCACCTCATTTCCAGGGGTTATTATCATCTATAAATGATATATAAAACCATATATGTGTATGTACCTGTCTCCAATACTGCTGGCTCCCTGCAAACATTTTGTCATTATCAGCTTCTAACTCGGTCTCCAGTAAGTGGCCATGAGATGTTCCCAGTAATATGGGTCCAGTTGTGGAAATAGATTTATTTTCATAATTCCAACCCACTTCTGTTACTTCATAGTTCCTTGACTTACTAACTGACTTTAGCTTACTTCTTGCACGGTGAAGATATACAAGTTCTGGATTACCATCTTTATTCCTCGCAGAAAAAGCCAAAAGAAGATGATGTCCAAGGGGGTCCAGGAAGATATTAGATAATTTTGTATTTGGTTGCACAAATTTAGCATAGTGGATTTCTAAAAATTTTTAATATTAAAAATTATTTTATTTATGTTAACAATTTTGTGTAATTAACCGACTATATCCATAGAATACACTATATCCTTGCAGGTTGCGAACCAATTTTGATGATTATTTTTTTATTAAATATGTCATGTACTTCAAGGGTGGTGCCATATAAATTTGAAGAAAAGCTCCACCCTTAAGGGTAGCAAAAAAATAACTTCTTTTTAAGCAATTTGAAGTTGGTTTATACTTTGGTTAAGTCATAATTATAATATATGTGATATATGGAGTGTTGGGAGAAGGAGGACCATCTCTATATATGAAAAGTGTCCCTAAAAACGTGTCCAATAAGGGTGGCGCTGCAGTAGCATAGGATAAATTTAAAAAAAAGCGTCAAAAGTAATTAGAATAAGATGGAGAAATAAACAAGGACCGACCAATCCGCTTGGTTTTGTACTACGTAAATAGTTGAGATTTTGTATATTAGCATTTTACTAACTACTCTAATCATGAAATGTTTTAAATATTTGAATTCAGCTGACTTCACTCCGTTCACAACAGCTATCTTCATATTGCAGTTTTTCAGACGCCAGCACTATTGTGGTAGGTTTTGGAACCTCTATTTTCAGTAAATAGTAGGACACTTTTTCAACTTTCGCCCCTTATAAAAGATGGTTCTCCTTGTACTCTACACTCCATAATGTGATACACACACATATTATGTGAATGTCAAAATAAAATCAACAGGTAAAAAAGTATTATATACAAATATTTATATTACAAGTGGCAACATTATCAATGTTTGAAATTTCTGGTGCTATGTTGATTAAAAAGAATTTAAAATTCAGATATTTAAAATACTGAGCAAAATTTTTGATGGATTAAATAAAAAAATAAAATTAATAGAATTAGATGTTTTTTACAGGAAATTAATTATGTTAAAGATTTGAAAGTAGTATTTAGCTAAAATCCACCTGAAAAATGAAATCTTTCGTTAAAAACACATCACCATCAATAATACAACACATGCTCCACCTCTAAACAAGGCATAAGGAGAAATAGACTCTGTGCAGAGTCTATTACAATTGCAGGAGCATGCAATTATAGGACAAAAGGAGGTGCTCTTAACTATAAGACTCTATTTTCTTTTTCAAGCAAATATTAGCTATATCATTTTTACATCTATAAATACAACTAACTGGTTTTGCCATGGCTGCCATAGCAAAATAATCCCTATTAGGCAATTTACAGGGTAGGCCTATGAATAGCAGCGATCTTTTATAGGCTGTAATAGATGATTTTTTTTTTTATAGGATAAGGGTGACAAACGAGCACACAGTCCACCTGATGGTAAGTGGTTGCTGCGGCCCATAGACATCTACATCTATCCTCTGTTACAAATCAAAATGTAGATGCGTTGTCACCCGTGAGGACTAAGATGGAATGCCTCATTTCCAGAAAAAAGGGCCCCCGGCCACCTGCACTCACCAAGCGAAACGCAGAGGTAAACTTCTACTTCACGCTGGTTTTCTGTGAGGTCGTGGTACTACCCCGGTTCGAGCCGGCCCATCCGTGCGACAGCAAAAGCTGCCGCGTGGCTCTACCACTGTTAAAACTGAATGGAGAAAGAAAAACAAATAAAATATTTTGTTTAAAAAAATAACCTGTTGTTATTCTATTCACATTGAGTATAGGCAATATTATTAATTTTATCTTATAGTATTTTCCAATGCATAAAAACAGCACCATTCCAAAAGAAAGCTTTATTTAGTTAGGTTGTAGTCAAATGTAATATTTGATACTATAAAAAATTTAATATTTATGTTGCTTAAATTGTTCCTATTTGTACAGTAGGTTTTAAAATTTCTTATATTTACACAGACACTACACATTTAAATGAAACTAGATTTTATGGAGTCTATAGTGTATATTTACTTATTTTATATTCCCAACATTTTGAGCAATTTACAGCACCGATTGCCCCGTCCCAACGTGACCATGGATTTTGTCATACATTTTATATTCCTTCCCATGACCATGGATGCTGTAAAGAACTCAAAACATTGGGAATATAATATAAGTTAATATACGCGATAGAATCCGTAAAAACTAGTTTTACTTAAAAGGTTTTAAATATGTTTTTAGAAATTTTGTTTTCCTCATATAACTGAAGCTTCCAAAGTAGACTAGATAGAGGAATGAATTTGTACGTTATCTATGTGTCCCGTGCTATACAGACCTTCATGCTGATCAGGCATTTTTAAATCCAGTCGAAAAAGTTTTCCATTAGCCATCGCAAGAACGAGATAATCACTAGCAACAGCGACATGCGTTATATAGTCTGAAGGGTTGAAATTCATCTTTTGCTTGGAGAACATAGGTGTATTGTCATCCATTTGCATATTAATATATCCAGAGGATGTCATAGGCTCAGCAACAGGGGCGGCCCTTTGGGAAATTTGGGATGCTTGTTCAAATTGATCAAAAATTGACGTCATTTTATTCTATCCGATAAACAACGATATTGTACAAAATGTTTCAGATAATTTCCTGTACTTCTCGTTTAATGTTAAAGATCCAGTATCAGCATTGATAAAAAAATATTTGAACGAGAAAAACACAATGAAAATAAATATTTATGTATATCTAACAAAAACTATTTACTTATTTGACAAGTACATACAAGATGTTGCCAACTTTTAATATTTTGTAAATAGCTTATTTAATTTAACATAAATATGATATGTTCCATGCTATGGTTCCAAATTCCAATGTTCCATGGTATACAAGTCTTATACCCAACTTAATTGAAGTAGGTATAAAAATTAAATATTAATATAAATATTACGTTAAACGTAATTTAAAGGCTTATTACATTACACGATTTATCGGGCCCTGTCCATTGTGTGCCCTGCCTACCAGACAGGGCGCTGCTTATTACACTACGCTAGAAATTAAACGTAGTAATTATATTCTCTTTGCTAGAAATTGCTTCCTGCCTCAGTTGTAGACATGGGCAACGTGTATCACTTAAAAGAAAAGATTGATATCTATCTTTTGATCACTTGGATATGTATCACTCTTTTATATCTTTATATCCTTATGTATCAGTAGATCAAACTCACTTTCACGATACGCATCGCATTACATTGCATTGCTCACTCACCGTGGCTCGCTTCGCTTAAGTGGGGCTCCTATCAGTAAGAGTGATAGATAAGTAACTATAGAGCTGTTTGCATTTTGCTTGGTCGTAACATTGTGTATCTTTCTGATATATTTGGCTGCTGTTTCTTTCTAGGTATCGATTTGTTATGATTAAAAAATTAAAGTTTTCTTATTTCTCAGACATGCAGGTTTCCTCACGATGTTATCCTTCATCGCCGAGCAAGTGGTAAATCAGCACTTAAAATTTCAATTAACAATTTCATTGGTGCCGGCAGGGATCGAACCCGGGTTGCTCGCGTACTGTGAAACTTACAGCGAGCGCTATTATTGTTATGATTGATAAATATTAAAATAATAATTAAATTAATGATTAACGAAAATAACATAGGTAGGGTAGGTATTGTTTGTATTTATTTGTAGAAAATATATATTATATAATTTACCAATTTCCCTTCATACTTTTCCAGGTTTAGGACTGACAACCTATTTATGTGCAGTTATTTCAGTTATAGTGTAAAATATTAGGTACCTATACGTAGTTGAATTTATTAAGTAAAAATTAGATTCTTAGGTTGGCGTATTTAGAAATGAGTGGCTGTGTACAGTGATTTTTTGATTATTATTTTCAGCATCATTTACATATATTCATATCGGTTTTTTACACATACTTATACTTATTAAAATGTCAGAGTTGCAAATTATGAATACTAGTGGAGAGACTTTAAGCCCTATGCACCAATCATAAGAGTTTTCAATTTACCTTTTTGTGCCGACAGTTTAGAATGGTCAAACAACTCACTCTCTCTCTTTCCGTCTTGCGAAAGCGCGACAGAACATTCTAAATAGTGAGGTGCAAAAGAAACGTCTGTACTATGAACTTTCCGAAATCTTCCTGGAATGGCCGGCTATCCCGGCCGAGGTATAATAGAAAGCACCGTGCGCAATGTGCGACACAGATGTTAGAAAAAAGACGCCTTGAATGAATGATTTGTAAAGATACACTGATACAGTGATTCATTCGGATGCGGATGGATATAAAGAGTGATTGATGGAAACGGATTGATTTATATCTTTTGTATCTATCTCTCCTGAGTTACCCATTTCTACTCAGTTGTTACTCGTACGTGGAAATGATTGTACATCTAGCATTATTACGCAGACTTTATCTAAACCTCAAAAAATTGCTTTATTGTTGTTTTACGTGGTAGAGCCATGCTACAGCTATATTAGTAGTATAGTTGTAGCACGAATGGGTTGGCTCGACCGGGGAAGGACCACGCTCTCACAGAATACCAGCATAAAATAGCAGCTTAACACTGCTGTGTTTCGTATGGTGAGTGTAGAGAACCGGAGACCCTTTTTACTGGAAAAGAGGCATTCCATCTCAGTCCTCACGGGTGACAACGCATCTGCATTTTGATTCGCATACGAGGATAAATGTAGGTGTCTATGGGCCACAGCAACCACTTACCATCGGGTGGACTGTGTGCTCGTTTGTCACCCTATCCTATAAAAAAAAACTTTGGCTGGCGGAATCGTGCAATAATTCCCGACGTTTCGGATGCTTTACAGCAACCAGTCCCCCGTGACCATGGGTGGTAAAGCACCCGAAACATCGGAAATAAATAAAAAAAAATTAAACGCGATAGAATCCGTAAAAGAAGTTTTATTCAAAAGAATACTTTTTTAAGAGAGATTGGTTGTCACTTTACGATTTTGGCCACTGGAAAATGAACTTCCAAACTTGCTTGTTGCCTGCACAGAACACTATTACCCCTAACGGAGGTTGTCTGCCTACACACCTGCTCACGGGCACAGAATAAATAATAGTACTAACGTACAGAAGTTGCACTCTTTTGATGTTGACTGCTTGCCGACGTTTTAATAGCCTACATAGTTATTATTAATCAGATAAATCACGCACGAAAGCTAAATAAAACTATCCCTGCGCGCGATTACCGTATTCCGTATTACTTTGCATCTTTTCTCCTTACTACGTCACAACGGGCTTTCCATGGTTGCTAAGGGCTGTTAATAAAGAGTAAAAAAATACACTGTGAAATGGTAAGTTACTTAGGTAAAGTACCTATGCTGACTATAATCGACTATATTATCTACTATGTGAGTTATGTGATGCCCAACGCATGCAACTTGTAAGGTCATTCGTCGGGAATCGCGATGCTTGGTTCGTATAGGTAGATAGTGCAAAAAACAAATAAACCTGAAATACGATCCCTAACAGAAATATGATCGTAATCTACTTAGTTGAAAATCTTGTAAACAAAGTTTTAATTTCAATATTTTGTGCTATCATAACTTAAAATATTTTAATTACAAAGACGAGTATAGATATGTAAGTAGGTACTTGTGTAGTGAGGACTTTCATTATCCTTCGGTAACTCAAAAAATGTTATATCTGAATCCCTTTAATTGCTCAATAAGCATCTATCCCCGCAACAATTATAGTAGGAACGAAGTCTTGCCATGATAATTTATCAAATGGATAGGTAATATATACATATATATTATTCTTAAATTACATTAAAACTTATTTAACTAATTTATCTTACAATTAAATATACTAAACAGTAAACAAAAACTATTTCGACGAGTATATTATGAACAAGTCATCATCATCATTATTACAGCCTTTCATAGTCCACTGCTGAACATAGGCCTTCCCCAAGGAATGCCACAAAGCACGGTCCTGAGCCACCTGCATCCATCGATTTCCTGCATGTCTTACCAGGTCGTCACTCCATCTCGTGGGGGGTCGCCCCACTTCGCCTACCGGTACAAGGCTGCCATTCAAGAACCTTTCTTCCCCATCGGTTGTCGGTTCTTCGAGCTATATGGCTGGCCCACTGCCACTTCAGCTTACTAATCCGTTGGGCTATGTCGGTCACTCTGGTTCTACTGCGGATATCCTCATTTCTAAGTTTATCACGCAGAGAAACTCCGAGCATAGCCCTCTCCATAGCTCGCTGAGCGACCTTGGGCTTCCTGCAGCCAGCAGTGAAGGACCACGTCTCAGATCCGTAAGTCATCACTAGCAACACGCACTGGTTGTATAATTTCGTTTTAAGGTTTTGAGGAATATCTGACGAGAAGATGTGTTGTAGTTTCCCGAACGCTGCCCAGCCGAGTTGAATCCGTCGATTGACCTCTCGGTCGAAGTTGGACTTACCTAGTCGGACTATTTGTCCCAGGTAAACATACTCGTCAACAACTTCAAACTTGGTGCTCCCAACAACTACCGGCATAGGTGTGACATGGACATTGAACATGATCTTTGTTGTGTCCGTGTTCATCTTAAGAACTATCCGTTGGGAGACACTATTGAGGTCATTGATCATAGTGCTTAGGTCCTCCAGCGATTCTGCCATAAGGACTATATCGTCGGCAAATCGAAGGTGAGTGATGTACTCGCCATTGATGTTGATACCGTATCCTTTCCAGTCCAGAAGCTTGGAAACGTCTTCCAATGCAGCGGTGAAGAGTTTCGGGGATATGACGTCACCCTGTCTTACACCTCTCTGCAATTGGATAGGTTTCGTACTCTGGTTTTGTAGTCGGATAGCCATCGTAGCCCTACTGTACATGCACTTCAGCACTTCGATATACCGACAGTCAACTTGGCACCGCTGAAGGGACTACAGCACCGCCCAAATTTCGACGGAATCAAAGGCTTTCTCATAGTCCACATACGCCAGGCGTAGTGGTAAATTGTACGCCTCGAACTTCTGTACAACTTGCCAAAGGGTATGTATGTGGTCTATGGTGCTAAAGCCCTTTCGGAAACCGGTTTGTTCGCGAGACCGGAAGTCGTCAAGTCTGCGCGCGAGACGATTCGTAATGATTCTTGAAAACAGCACGTAGACGCGGCTCAGAAGGGAAATCGGTCTGTAGTTCTTCAAGAGAGCGTTGTCACCTTTCTTGAAGAACAAGACCACCGCACTTCTGCTCCACGCCTCCGGTGTAATGCCACCATGGAGGACGGAATTAAAGAGCTTCTGAAGGACTTCAAGTACCGATTTTCCACCCGCTTTCAGAAGCTCCGCTGTAATTGCATCATCGCCCGGGGCCTTGCCGTTTTTAAAATGCTGGAGAGCCATTCTAATCTCGCTTAGACTGACGTCCGGGATATCATTGGAATAGTGTCGGATAAGACTCGCTCTTGGATCGTTAATCACACTTGCGTGTGACTCCAACGATGACGTGTACAGCTGCCCACAGAACCTCTCAATCTCACTCAAAATCTCAGGTGCCCCGGAAACGATGCTGCCACACTCGGTCCTCAGCTTTGACAGTTGGCTCTTTCTGGCAGACAGAT